AATAACATAATTATTGTTTATATTACATTCAAACATTTTATTTCTTACCTTATCATCAATTTCAACCATTCCTACTTCATTGTCGAACTCCCTAAAAAAAAATATAATTTAATATAACACCAAATTATTATTATTTTTTAAAATTGATTTTCTTCTATCACTTACGCCAAATTATTTTTTTTTTCTGAAAATACTCTGAGTAAAAACGCACCTTGTTCATTCTGATTAGACGAGTAAGGTACAATACAATATTTACCAGGAGGTACACTCAATCTTTTACAGACTTCTCTTGGTTTGAACTCAGAACAATGGACTCTATCTAAAGGATCGTTATTTTCAAAAAAATGTGTGTCCAACGGTTTCGGCACAGACTTTGAAGTGTTGAGCTGAACGATAAAATAGAGTGAGCATCATAACAAATAATACTGTACAACTTGTATTATTATTAAAATATTAAAAAAATTGTAATACCCTAGGTACTTGTCCTACTTACATTATAAACATAAAATCCAAATGACAATGATTTATCTTTCTGTTTCTGTTGGCGTCGAGTGTCCTTGAGCATTAATGCAATAATTACGGTACACATATTGTTATTGTCATTATCGTCGGGATCTTCTAATGTTATATAGTACTGAGGATTACTCGAAAACGTTTCTAAATAATGACATCATATAAGTATATTCATCATTATTAATAATATTTAGTATATAATTACATAATATTATAATAGTCCTTAATACTATGCAGGGCTTAAATCAAAACCAATTATACTCTTTACCGTTATATGGATTGTATAATGAAATATGCTAATATCAATTTGCCTACATATTTCCCCTTAAAACACGACCAACCATCGTTCCCTTACTTCCACAATATACACAACTTGGGGTCTAGGTATGTGATTGTTTTTTAATAAAATTGTAACAAACCTATTGTGGTTTTAAGTCTTATAGCACACATGATGAAATCATCGAAGTTTATGTATCCTTTTTTATTTGCATACCGATGACACATAGTGTTTATGGTACGTGTTTTAATATTGTAACCAACTGAACTTAATGCTGGTCTTAGTTCGAATCCTTTGATATAACCCTTGTTCTTTTTATCGTAAGTTTTAAAAACCACCTAAAACAAAACAATTTAATATATAATATTGAAAACTTAATGAAAAGCAATACAATTATATAGTTGTATATCTTTACTAGTGATAGGATGTTGATGACGTTTGCATTTTTTTCTTTTAATACTATAAAATGCTATCTTAGCTAAAAATTCATATCATGCTCCATTGATTCAAAATATACTACTTTTATTTAGCATTTTCTTACATTTTTAAAAATTTTTATAGCTATAAATACATTTTTATGTTGAAAACGTCATATTAATATAATTATAAGTCACTTTTGTTTTTGAATAATGCATGGCATTTTTCTCGAATTTTAGATTTTAAAGAAAATTTGTTCTTTTTATCGTATGTTTTAAAAACAATCTTAAAAAAAACAATAAATTGTATATTTTTGTAAACTTAATTAACGGCCTTAAAAATGTATAGTTCTATATATAATTACTCACCTGCCACTGTCTAATGGCCATCAACAGTCTCTCGAATTCTTTAAAACCAAGTTTACCTGATCTATCCCAATCCATCATAGCAATGAAGCAACGACATACATCATTCGAGAATTTTGTGTTTCCAGTATCTATAAATATTATATTTTCTAATTAACAAGGTATTATAAATTAATCAATACTTTCATTGACATAGATTATACATAATATTATTAGTTAATGTAAATTATGTAAAAGAAATTCATGCCGAATAAAGGTAATAAGGTACCTAAATAAAAAGTTTGTAAGTTATACGTTTATATAATATACAATTTAAAAGTGTCAACAACTATTTGAGTGACACAGTTTCTTAATGTATTGCGTACATACATATTACATATTGCTTATGTAAGATCAAAATTTAAGAATTCCAAATTTAAATAAATGTCGACTATGTATATTTATTAAATATTTTACGATAATTACGGCAGGTATTTTGTTTATAGGTAGTCTGTTATTTAGATTTAATATAATGACTGTTTTGACGAACACGGACCTTTATTTTGTCCTCGGTATGATTCGAACAAATTAAACTACTAGTACCATAAGAAATCTGTAAACATAATATACAAGGTATAAGGTGTAACAGAATGACCTTACAAATGAAATAACTTTTGTTCTAATCAATATTTAAACATTTTAATTTAGTTTTAGTTAATTTATACTTAAATATAAGACACAAGGATAATTAATTACGACGGACCATACTTGATGTGAGATGATACAATATATATATGCATTAGGTATACTATTTCGTAATTTATTGTTGTCATATGAGTATATGACTTAGTCATAATGACTAAGTAGTTAACTATAGTATCAATGTTTATTTTTATATGTTGGGTCTTTTTGTAACTCCCTGTATGCAATTCGTATGAAGTTTGCTTGATCACCGATCATCTCGCTTTTACAAATGTTTACACTATGGCTAATCTTCTCATTATAAGCTTGTATTTAAAATACAAAAAATGGTGAAGTTTTAATTATTAATTATACAGAAGTAAAAAACAAATAAATAAATAAAATAAAATGTTTAATCTTAAGTAAACATTTAGGGGGGGGGGCACTGGCTACAACTTCCCCGGGGTCTAGTATTTTGGGGGAGCCAACATTTTGTGGTCGGAAATTTGTTCCTTTGTGAATTATTAAAACTTTTAAAATTTAAATTATTTCAATAACAGTATTATATAATTTTAATGTATTATGCTGTTTGAAATTAAAACAACTAATGTATTTATAGCTATGATTATAGCTATCAGGGCTAGAGATTTATTAATATACCTACCTAATGATAGTTCCTTAATACTTTTCCCAAATTTGTTGTGATTCAAATATTCAATAGACATAAGTTATTTCTAATAATACGGCGTATTTATCTAACTCGTGCCTACTACAAAAGTAAAATTTATTAGTGTACTAACTCGAACTACAGCATTTGTGAAATCTGCGATTACTGATAAATAATTTTTCTTTCATTACTCGGCCTTTTTTTTATTTTTTTATTGATCTTAAATACATCAACATCATCTGGGTCATTAGTACAAGGTGTTAAGTTAGGTAATATTTACAATACGTTACATAATTTTTTTTTTTTTTAAATTAGATTATAAAATTCTGATTTTTTTAGGAATAAAATTAAGGTGTTTGTGTCGGCACTGTTGGTTATTTATTATTAATTATTATTATATATTTGTTTTATTTTACTTTAATTATGAAAGGCAAAATAAAGTTAAGTGGATATCAAAATCGTAAACAAACTTTGTTAAAAGACAAAAAACCACTTAATGTTGTTAACAAATTCGGACAAATTCAAGACATGTTTCAAAAAATATAATATTAATTTACATAGGTTACCTATATAATTTTATTTTTTTTTCATATTAATAATATATTATTATGATTCATGAAGTAGGTACCTAAACATGTAAAAAAAAAAGCAAACAACTTTTATATTGAATTGTAAGCAGGGCTCAAATCAAGTGGCATACACTCAATTGTATCATTGCGGATGGGGAGGAGGAGGAGTGTTCATGAAATTATTAAACAATATTTTATAAAAAGGCACACATTATTGTAAAACAAATATCCTTTTCTTTGCTCATAATCTAAAAAGTTCATGAGGATCTCTTTCCCATATTTCCCAGGGTTAGGCCACTCTTGGAGTGCACCAAATATTTTTTTGCACTGGGGCGGAAAATGTCCAAATGATCAAGATGACACAAGTCCTATAGTGGCCGAAGAAGAAGAAGAAGATAGCTAACAAAATATACCTTTCATAGCAAAATCCAAAATATTTTTAAGATCCATCCAATCAACCTCTTTGTCATTCCCAGCTACTTTAAGGAAGTATTTTTTTAATTTTTCATTTGAATCATAATTTTTTTTGCTGTAAAGTGCCAATTTTTTTATCTAAAAAAATGTATTTTTATTATTTTTTTTATTTTTTATTTTTTATAAAATAACATAATTATTGTTTATATTACATTCAAACATTTTATTTCTTACCTTATCATCAATTTCAACCATTCCTACTTCATTGTCGAACTCCCTAAAAAAAAATATAATTTAATATAACACCAAATTATTATTATTTTTTAAAATTGATTTTCTTCTATCACTTACGCCAAATTATTTTTTTTTTCTGAAAATACTCTGAGTAAAAACGCACCTTGTTCATTCTGATTAGACGAGTAAGGTACAATACAATATTTACCAGGAGGTACACTCAATCTTTTACAGACTTCTCTTGGTTTGAACTCAGAACAATGGACTCTATCTAAAGGATCGTTATTTTCAAAAAAATGTGTGTCCAACGGTTTCGGCACAGACTTTGAAGTGTTGAGCTGAACGATAAAATAGAGTGAGCATCATAACAAATAATACTGTACAACTTGTATTATTATTAAAATATTAAAAAAATTGTAATACCCTAGGTACTTGTCCTACTTACATTATAAACATAAAATCCAAATGACAATGATTTATCTTTCTGTTTCTGTTGGCGTCGAGTGTCCTTGAGCATTAATGCAATAATTACGGTACACATATTGTTATTGTCATTATCGTCGGGATCTTCTAATGTTATATAGTACTGAGGATTACTCGAAAACGTTTCTAAATAATGACATCATATAAGTATATTCATCATTATTAATAATATTTAGTATATAATTACATAATATTATAATAGTCCTTAATACTATGCAGGGCTTAAATCAAAACCAATTATACTCTTTACCGTTATATGGATTGTATAATGAAATATGCTAATATCAATTTGCCTACATATTTCCCCTTAAAACACGACCAACCATCGTTCCCTTACTTCCACAATATACACAACTTGGGGTCTAGGTATGTGATTGTTTTTTAATAAAATTGTAACAAACCTATTGTGGTTTTAAGTCTTATAGCACACATGATGAAATCATCGAAGTTTATGTATCCTTTTTTATTTGCATACCGATGACACATAGTGTTTATGGTACGTGTTTTAATATTGTAACCAACTGAACTTAATGCTGGTCTTAGTTCGAATCCTTTGATATAACCCTTGTTCTTTTTATCGTAAGTTTTAAAAACCACCTAAAACAAAACAATTTAATATATAATATTGAAAACTTAATGAAAAGCAATACAATTATATAGTTGTATATCTTTACTAGTGATAGGATGTTGATGACGTTTGCATTTTTTTCTTTTAATACTATAAAATGCTATCTTAGCTAAAAATTCATATCATGCTCCATTGATTCAAAATATACTACTTTTATTTAGCATTTTCTTACATTTTTAAAAATTTTTATAGCTATAAATACATTTTTATGTTGAAAACGTCATATTAATATAATTATAAGTCACTTTTGTTTTTGAATAATGCATGGCATTTTTCTCGAATTTTAGATTTTAAAGAAAATTTGTTCTTTTTATCGTATGTTTTAAAAACAATCTTAAAAAAAACAATAAATTGTATATTTTTGTAAACTTAATTAACGGCCTTAAAAATGTATAGTTCTATATATAATTACTCACCTGCCACTGTCTAATGGCCATCAACAGTCTCTCGAATTCTTTAAAACCAAGTTTACCTGATCTATCCCAATCCATCATAGCAATGAAGCAACGACATACATCATTCGAGAATTTTGTGTTTCCAGTATCTATAAATATTATATTTTCTAATTAACAAGGTATTATAAATTAATCAATACTTTCATTGACATAGATTATACATAATATTATTAGTTAATGTAAATTATGTAAAAGAAATTCATGCCGAATAAAGGTAATAAGGTACCTAAATAAAAAGTTTGTAAGTTATACGTTTATATAATATACAATTTAAAAGTGTCAACAACTATTTGAGTGACACAGTTTCTTAATGTATTGCGTACATACATATTACATATTGCTTATGTAAGATCAAAATTTAAGAATTCCAAATTTAAATAAATGTCGACTATGTATATTTATTAAATATTTTACGATAATTACGGCAGGTATTTTGTTTATAGGTAGTCTGTTATTTAGATTTAATATAATGACTGTTTTGACGAACACGGACCTTTATTTTGTCCTCGGTATGATTCGAACAAATTAAACTACTAGTACCATAAGAAATCTGTAAACATAATATACAAGGTATAAGGTGTAACAGAATGACCTTACAAATGAAATAACTTTTGTTCTAATCAATATTTAAACATTTTAATTTAGTTTTAGTTAATTTATACTTAAATATAAGACACAAGGATAATTAATTACGACGGACCATACTTGATGTGAGATGATACAATATATATATGCATTAGGTATACTATTTCGTAATTTATTGTTGTCATATGAGTATATGACTTAGTCATAATGACTAAGTAGTTAACTATAGTATCAATGTTTATTTTTATATGTTGGGTCTTTTTGTAACTCCCTGTATGCAATTCGTATGAAGTTTGCTTGATCACCGATCATCTCGCTTTTACAAATGTTTACACTATGGCTAATCTTCTCATTATAAGCTTGTATTTAAAATACAAAAAATGGTGAAGTTTTAATTAGTAATTATACAGAAGTAAAAAACAAATAAATAAATAAAATAAAATGTTAAATCTTAAGTAAACTTTTTAATGAATTGAAATATGTTTTAAAATTACTTATCATATTACTGGCAGGGCCGCATTTAGGGGAGGCACTGGCTACAACTTCCCCGGGGTCTAGTATTTTGGGGGAGAAAACATTTTGTGGTCGGAAATTTGTTCCTTTGTGAATTATTAAAACTTTTAAAATTTAAATTATTTCAATAACAGTATTATATAATATTAATGTATTATGCTGTTTGAAATTAAAACAACTAATGTATTTATAGCTAGGATTATAGCTATCAGGGCTCGAGATTTATTAATATACCTACCTAATGATAGTTCCTTAATACTTTTCCCAAATTTGTTGTGATTCAAATATTCAATAGACATAAGTTATTTCTAATAATACGGCGTATTTATCTAACTCGTGCCTACTACAAAAGTAAAATTTATTAGTGTACTAACTCGAACTACAGCATTTGTGAAATCTGCGATTACTGATTATACATTTTTCTTTCATTACTCGGCATTTTTTTTTTTATCGATCTTAAATACATCGACATCTAGGTTATTAGTACAAGGTGTTAAGTTAGGTGATATTTACAATATGTGACATAATTTTTTTTTTTAATTAGATTATACAATTCTGATTTTTTTAGGAATAAAATTAAGTTGTACACAAACTTAAGTTGTACCAGCACTGTTGGTTATTTATTATATATTTGTTTTATTTTACTTTAAGGCAAAATAAAGTTAAGGGGATATCATAATCTTAAACAAACTTTGTTCAAAAAAACCACTTAATGTCATTGACAAATTCAGACAAATTCAAGACATGTTTCAAAAAATATAATATTAATTTGCATAGTTTACCTATATAATTTTATTAAATTGTATTTTTTATTTTTTTTTCATATTAATAATATATTAATATGATTCATGAAGTAGGTACCTAAATATGTAAAAAAAAAAAAGCAAAACAACTTTTATGTTGAATTGTAAGAAGGGCTCAAGTCAAGTGGCATACACTCAATTGTATCATTGCGGATGGGGAGGAGGAGGAGTGTTCATGAAATTATTAAACAATATTTTATAAAATGGCACACATTATTGTAAAACAAATATCCTTTTCTTTGTTCATAATCTAAAAAGTTCATGAGGATCTCTTTCCCATATTTCCGGGGGTTAGGCCACTTAAGGGGTGCGCCAAATATTTTTTTGCACTGAGGCGGAAAATGTCTAAATGATCAAGATGACACAAGTCCTAGTGGCCGAAGAAGCGATAGCTAACAAAAAATATACCTTTCATAGCAAAATCCAAAATATTTTTAAGATCCATCCAATCAACCTCTTTGTCATTCCCAGCTACTTTAAGGAAGTATTTTTTTAATTTTTCATTTGAATCGTCACTTTTTTTGCTGTCAAGTGCCAACTTTTTTATCTAAAAAAAAGTATTTTTATTATTTTTTTTTAATTTTTAATTTTTTATAAAATAACATAATTATTTTTTATATTACATTCAAACATTTTATTTCTTACCTTATCATCAATTTCAACCATTCCTACTTCATTGTCGAACTCCCTAAAAAAAATGTTATTTAATACAACACCAAATTATTATTATTTTTTAAAATTGATTTTCTTCTATCACTTACGCCAAATTATTTTTTTTTTCTGAAAATACTCTGAGTAAAAACGCACCTTGTTCATTCTGATTAGACGTGTAAGGTACAATACAATATTTACCAGGAGGTACACTCAATCTTTTACAGACTTCTCTCGGTTTGAACTCAGAACAATGGACTTTATCTAAAGGATCGTTATTTTCAAAAAAATGTGTGTCCAACGGTTTCGGCACAGACTTTGAAGTGTTGAGCTGAACGATAAAATAGAGTGAGCATCATAACAAATAATACTGTACAACTTGTATTATTATTAAAATATTAAAAAAATTGTAATACCCTAGGTACTTGTCTTACTTACATTATAAACATAAAATCCAAATGATAATGATTTTTTTTTCTGTTTTGATTGGCAACGCGTGTCCTTGAGCATTAATGCAATAATTACCGTACACATATTGTTATTGTCATTTTCATCGGGATCTACTATTGTTATATGGTACTGAGGATTACTTGAAAACGTTTCTAAATCACCATTTATCAACATCATATAAACGCATATATATTATTATAATTCATTTCATATTATATAGTTAACGATTTTATATTATTCAAAATAATTATACCTTTAAATTTATCACATCCACCAGCTGTTGCTCCTCGCACCCATTCACCTTCGAATATACTCAGATCCCATTTTGTCCCTTCGCTTACCCCATATTGTCCCCTGTCTAGGTAGCCAGGATTCAAATGACAAATTTCCAATGCAGAGAAATATTTGACAAAATCTTCGAATGGCATCCAAAACTCTCCATCATCTTCTATTTTGAGACCTATTGATTGTTTTAATTGTTGAGGTATATTTAACCACTCCTCTGATCTAAAAAAAAATTTTTAATTAATTCATTAAAACGGCACGTTTATATACAACATAAAGTAAGACGTTTATCCGTTACATTATAATAAAAAGCTTACATGTCACTCCAACGGCCGTTCCATTCGCTTTTACCCCAAGGATTTCGAAGTCTAATCAGTGGTATTATACTATTACTCGTTGGTAAAGGTATATAAGTTATCCTGGTAATACTATATGCATGACCTTTTTCTAACCCTTTTTTGTCTGGATCAGGCTATAACATTTTATAAAGTTTAAAAGTTCTAAAATAAGGAAAAATAAAAAAGAAACATTATCAATGTCAAATTGAATATCTAACCAATTGCGAATCGAATATTCCACCACACATGAGCGATTGTCGTTGAAATGAATTTAGCATAATCGTGAACAAATTATGTTGTTCTTTATTGAGATCATATATTTCTGACACTCCTCCAGTGAAATCTCCCATAGCCTCCATTGTTAAACCACCTTTCAAAGCTTCGTATGAACCGCTTATTCTAGTGATGTAAATTTTTTTTTTTTAATTTATGTTATTTTATTCTTAGTACAGGGACTTACTGAGCGTCCCCCATACCCTACTATAGGTTTCCAAATAGCAAATGCCAATATTGTTATAAAGAGATTGTAAATATCTGTGTAATATAATGGACTGACTACCTACGGTGTATAATATATTTTTATTAAACATTTTGTCATCATTATTGTTGAACTATTCTCTCTCTCTCTATCTTGCTATTAATGGATAACAAATGGTACCAAATTTTTCTAACAATTTTGTCCCCTGGATCTCTCTCTCTCTCTCTCTGTTATCAGGACATTTTTTTATAGGTCTATCAAATGTATTGATTCTACAATGATGTATATATATTATATTTTGTTTGTCTTTCACGTTTTATATCTAGTATAGGTAGTAAAAATCGAACTTTAAGTTTAAACTTTATTAGACATCTCTTAAAATTTTAATAAATGGTTCTTATAACCACAGTTCTTACTGGAACCCAAAAATTAAAAAAAAATAAGGACAATAGATATTGAACTTCAAATGTTAATGAAATTGTATATTTAAACGAAGAATAACGATTATGTTGTAGGTAATTCAAAAATATTATTTGAGAGAACTTGAAACGTTTAAGTCTTATTATTACGTATATTATTATATTTTACTATATTGTTTACTATATTATTATACTAACATTTAAAAATATTTAGATTCATTTTATGATATTGACTACTGACTACTACCACAGAGTGACATTGGTTATCAATAATTTTTATACATTTAAACTTAACCTAATTTTGATCAAAATATTTAAAAACCTTATATTTAATGCTATTAATGTGATCAATTGTCTTAGGTGCTTTAAATAAATCATTCTACTGTTTACTTAGCATAAGCTTTCTCCAGTAGAGCACTCCAGAATTCGTTTTTGGTTGATGATTGAAGAAATATTAACTTTCCTTTATGAGTCGGTAAACGATCGTCAATAACCACGTCAACCCATCTGCCAAACTGCCAAAATCTAAATCCACCGATGTTTTAAAGTAGGTACGATTTACACTTACATTAGGTTCTAGAGTTCAAATTATATTTACTGAAAGTGGAATATTCCAGCGTAATTAATATGGAATCCTTGATCAAAAGGAACTACTTTATAAAAAAGTTTGTCGTCCAAAGTCAAATTTGCTATGGCAGCTAATAACCAACAGTCCCCTTCCAGAATAAACAAAAAAAAATGTTAACAATGATTATATATACAATATATGAATAATTAATTTAGATCCAATTAATTCCAATTAATTTACATACCATATAATATTTATAGTTATTATTGACAAACTTTTAATAGTATAAAAATATATAATATGGATTTAAAATATTTCTAATTTAAAAAAAAATTACTTTTCATTTTATTTACCCAAATAAGGTCCTTGCCTCACATCAAATCTTGAAGCTCCTTGCACGAAAAATTTGGGATCGTCTGTAATTTCCTAAGAATTCAATTATTATTATTATTATTATTAAGTGTTTATTTCGAAGAATAATTGGCCTGAGCATGCTCGTTTGGAAGCCCATAATATAATTTGATTAAGTGTGTATTACAGTTCTAATAAAAATAAACTAAAAAATATATACTTACCTTTGGTCTTCGCCACTCAAGCTGATTTTTTTGTAGATTTCTATAAGACACAGATAAATCGTATGTGTCGAATTCTGGATCTCTGAATAGTATTTTTTGTTTTAAGCATTTGTTTCGGATCTCATCAAAGTTTTGATCAAATCCAGCGGGTCTCCGACGAACACCGGAACCCCGTTCACCAACATTTAACATTTTTCTGAGGAATTTAATGTATATTTTTATGAACAAATGCACAATAAGTATATGTTTCAATTGATGTATCTACTAAAACTATATTGTTTCACAAAAACGAAACACAAACGTGTACCACTGTACCTAATACTTATTTACAATCTCACTATCTAAAATACATTAAATAGGTACCTATATCATAATTATTGTGTTTCTAATAATAATATAATTTAGTTTGAATTTATAGGTCAATGTTTCTTAGATGAATTTAATATCGATAACGTTATGAATTGTGATATATAAGCTACACACAGTCATTGTACCTACTTATATAAACCTAAGATAATAATATTGTCAATTCATTGTAATCGCATTATACCTCAATTATGTATTACATTGTACATTGCTTGTGCACTGAACTTTTAGTATAATTATTTACTATTATCATTAAAATTGTTTCATGAAATAATAAATAAAATAGAATAGTTTCTCGGGCTTGCTATTACAATGAACCTAGTTAATTGTTAATCTATAGGCTAGTTCGCTAGTTTAAGCTCAAAATAATAATATTAACATATTATACCTAATATGCTTAATATTTGTGTATCTATTAATCTTGTAATTTAGTAATTCACAATTTTAAAGCTTTAAATATCGTGTACCAACTATAGTTAAAATCGTATGATTTTCTATCTACTGAGATATTGACATATTGTTAATTGTTATGGGTTAATAAGTACCTACCTACCATATTAATAAGATTGTTATTGCCTCGTAATTCCGTATACTAACCAGTGGTTTGTCACCTAGCTTGAGCTATAATAAAATCTATTGTGCGTTGAATAAATTATTCTATATACACAATAAATGCATTGTCTTACAAGTTACAAATACAATACACTCGCCCAGATGATTAATATGTATTACACATTTAAACTATTAGTTATTACTTATAATAATATTATATAGGTAAGTAATATACTAATAGGTATACAAGTTATATATTAATAAAATAGTTAGTAGGTACCTACCTATATATATATATATATATATAATATATATTATTGATATAGAAATGCGCAGTTAATTGTTTATTTATTATTTATTATTATTTTTATTAATATATTGTACCATCAAAATATTTTATTCTTTTTTTTACTCAAACAGGCTATTCTAATACTGCCGATAGTAGGTACGTTACAATGATTACTCCAATTAAAAAATATATATTATAATTCTCCATAAACCATAATAATATTATACTTAGGTACAACTGTAGAAGGGTACGACCTAACTGCATTATTGAAATACTCAATGTTTATTTGATGAAATATTTTAACTGAAAATTTATGTGATATATTTTATATACACTAATTAATACAATTCAAATTACAAAAATAAAAATATGGATAGTAAGTACCTACGTGTTATAGGGAGTTTGAATTTTTTTTAGTATGAAAATCGGAATACGCATAGCCTGCCTTAATATTATAGTTAAAAAGATCAAGATAACTTGACACATTATGTGATTATGATTATATGTTTGATACACTGATACATAGAACTTAATTTTCCATTTGTAGACAAAATAGTTTTTACTAGGTACCTAATTTGTAATACTAGCCACTCAGGGTCTGATTTACCATTTTATGGGCCCAGTACAATTTTCAATTTTGGGCCCCAAATTTTCCATATCTATACTTTCTTCAATTATAAAATAAAATGTATACATATTGTATTTTTAAATTATTTGCATATACACGAGTAGTTACATAATAGAAAACAATGTTATTGTTAAAAATTTGATTACTTAATATACAGGAATACTTTACACTTTCAATGCGTCTATAATTAATGTTTAATATTTATTCAAGTAAGTACACAACTTAAAAAGCAAACGTATTTTTTTTTTTTTTCAAAAATTGTGTTTTTGATTATTAGACTTTTATAGTTATATATCAAAGTAAAAGTTTTTAAGGCAAAATTTTATTTCAACTAATCATCTTTTACAAACATTTCGATTGTGCCCTATATATGCCTATAATATAGTAGATAAACTAGCTCTAAACGTAAATTTATCTAAACTAGATTCCGTGTATTTTTTTTGTTTCTTTATCTCATCTGTCCTTTAATTTTCTATTCATTGAACCAATTAAGTATTTTGTTGACATTTTAAATTGTTAAAAATCATAAACAAATTACCAATAGATATACGATAAATACAATTGACGTGTATCGCATAACAACGCAAGACAATGACGTCAATAGTAATAATAAGACGATAATACGATATTACGATAATAACGGCAATTAGATTTTATTGTCGGCAAAGTCATCGTTTCCAGAGAAAATGTATTATACTTTACCAAAATATTCAAGTAAATCAAATCTATTTTGTTTTTCCAAAGTATAATAAGGATTAAAGAGGTATAAAATTAATATTTTGTTTGCCTGAAGTCGGTAAGCCTCTCTTTTGAGTGGGCCCAGTGCAAATGTCCCATTTGTCCTTGCATAAATATGGCACTGTAGCCACTCCAAATTTGTAAAGATTGAAATAATATAACTTTCAGCAGGTAGGTATATTTATTATCCTGTATCAAGATACCATTTACTCATTTAATGAAATTTTGAAAAAAAACACTTGCTATAATATTATTTATTAATATTATTATAAATAAATAATTGGTTTTCTTTTTCAATAAAAAGTTATAAGAATTATAATCATTGAGCATGTAAATTTACAACACACCTGTAAACCAAAATTCCAAAAATCTGAATGCAAAGTTTATTGTGCTATTGCAACCTTTATGTTTATAATCGAATATAGTTTGAAAATGTACGTAATACAAAATTCCTCATAAGTTGCTGTAATTTATTAGTCAAATAATTTTCTATATGTTTTTAAGTTCAAATATTTACTAATTTTCAACTAGCAGGGTAGAATTTACACCACGTTAAGCCATTGAGGTTAAATTATTATATTATATGCAAGGATTTCTGGAAAAATTATTTCACCATTCCGTATTGCTAGTAGAAAAATTACTATTAAATATTCAATTTGCTTAAAAACACAAATATAATTTTAACTGTTAATAATATTTAAATACCTACCAAACATTGATTATCATGTTAACCTAGAATGGAGTCTAATGCACTTTTAATTTATATTTATTTAGAGAAATTAATTTTGTTCGACCTAAATGGTCCAATTATTGTTGTCTAACTTTTCGGTTTGAAACAGTGCTTTTTAGTTGTAGAAGAAATTAAAATATTATGGTTATGGGTACATTAGATACATTATTATACTTTAATAATTAGTACACAATAAATGTGATTATAATATTATTGTGAATAATGTGAATTCATTTCAATCGTAAACTCAGTTCTGTTGTTGTGACAAAAATGTTACATATAATGTGTTAACGTTATTCGGACGATACGTGATAATAATATAACAATAGACGTCCATTATGTATACACGAGTAAATTCCATACAAATCAATGAAATTATTTGTATTAAAACTAAAGATTATAATAATATTATCTTGGTGTATCGTGTAATACTATAGTAGTTAATGTAAATTAATATTCCACATCGACGTTTAAATACACAACATATAATATATTAATATGCGTGTCAGATAAATACAATAATTATGAATAGGTACTTTTATTTTTTATTTATACCTAATAAGAAAACACATAAACATCACTGTTATATATATTATATTCTATTATATTATATAATTTATATAATTACAATAGTTTTATGAATGCTTAAAATTATAATAAATATTTAATTTTTTTAGAAAATCGATATTTTCTAAACATTCAATCTACTTCAACAAATAATTCTGTACTAATATCTAAGACTATGAGAGGTTTTACGACCTGCCAACTAGCTCTAATAGTGTCTTTGATATACCTAACCGTTTGACAAGCTTTTGTGCCGGACTCCCTCATACATATGATCTTATCAACCAGAGTTTTGATAGCGAATGTACCTACTAGGTAGGTTTGTAGTGGTCTAGCAATAGTCTATTTGGTATTCTGGGTGACCCGTTTCCTTTTGGTGGACACCAAAGAAATTGACTTTTTCGAGATTTAGGTTTAATTTTTTTATTAAAATAGTACAGTGAGCCCTATGCTCTTCATAGTTCATGCTAACCTTAACATATTTGTGTTGTTAATACTTAATTGCCTGATTAAAAGTGATGCCATAGTGTCGCCTTTTGTTAAGTGGGTTTTAATAGTGTTTTAATGTTCTATTAGATTCTAAGCTAGGCGATAATAATGTATTGATTTTACAATGATGTAATTGTACGTAGGTAGGTACCTAAATCTACTGAACCACTACGAAGATGGAAAATGAAAACTAATGAAAACAGAACTACTACAGCTATTGATAAAAGAAAAAACAACAATACTTAAGTCAAAATATGTGCACAGTGCATATTATTGTATTTGTGCAGTGTATATTTTACATTGAGTAACTCTGTCTTCACTGAAATTACTCCATGTAGTATGATGTAGGTTATTTCTACTATTCCTACAAGTCTTACTATAATACACGACTACTTCTAAGTACAATCATTGTTAAATTTACTATATTATAATATTTATATCTATTATAATTTACATTATACCTACAATAGTACTATCTATAGCTAGGAACTCATCATTTTAATTTATCAACCTAATTTAACTTATTACAATGATAGAGAAGTACTTACCCAATGTTGATAACAAATGTAAACTTTTTTTAATTCTGAAGTATGCGAGCAAGACCGGATGCAAAACACTCAACAAAAGGATTTCCACGGTTTTCTTGAGGCGTTAATATAAAGACAATCAATTTATTCACTAACAATCGAGAGGTATAATTATATTTCACAGAAAAAAAAGACTAAAACGATTAGTGGTTATAATAGTTAGTAATGACAGAGCTGTGAGACTACACTAACTCCGTGATCGGTTGTGCAGTGCTCCACTACTGGCTCTGGTGACCGGAATTTGCTGAG